GATGAAGAAGAAGAAGAAGAAGAAGAAGATGAAGAAGAAGAAGAAGAAGAAGAAGAAGAAGAAGAAGAAGAAGAAGAAGAAGAAGAAGAAGAAGAAGAAGAAGAAGAAGAAGAAGAAGAAGAAGAAGAAGAAGAAGAAGAAGAAGAAGAAGAAGAAGAAGAAGAAGAAGAAGAAGAAGAAGAAGAAGAAGAAGAAGAAGAAGAAGAAGAAGAAGAAGAAGAAGAAGAAGAAGAAGAAGAAGAAGAACAACAACAACAACAACAACAGCTTAATCAACTTAAACAACAACAACTTCAACAACACCATCGGCATCGGCTCACCAGGACGACGAAGATGTTGAAGTGGGGGAACCGGTGATCAAACTCAAGCATGAGCGTTTCTGCATGCTCCTCCTCTTCCTCCTCCTCCTCGTCTTCATCCTCCTCGCTCTCTTCCGAGGCAAGCTCCACATCCTCCTCCACCTCCCACACCTCCACAACACCAACTTCTCCCATCCCCTCCACACCCTCTACCCGCTCCGTCTGCAGCGCCTTTGTCCCCGCAGGCCGCCACAGCCGCTGCTGGTGCTGGTGCTGGTGGTGATGGTGGTGGTGAGGACCAGACACACCCATCGACACAAGCTCACTCGCACCGAGTCCTGCTGTCATTGCTGCAGCTGCTGTTGACGTGGATGTTGTCTCCGTGCCCATTGCATCAGCTGCTGTCCCTGTCGTCGTCGTCGTCGTCGTGGTTGTCGTGGTGGCCATCGTTGGTGTTGGTGTTGGTCTGAGCTGGTACATGCGCTCGACTGCGTCCGGGCACACGACGTAGCGCGAGGATGCCCGCAGCGGATACACGGGGCACGCCTCTGGTCGTGGTGGTGGTGACATGGGATGGTGGTACGGTGTGTGTGTGTATGTGTGTGTGTGTGTGCGTGTGTGTGTGTGTGTGTGTGTGTGTGTGTGTGTGCGGTGTAGTTGGGGCGACAAAGGAGTTTGAAGCAAGCACGCGAACAAGTGCGCACACGAAATCACGCGTGCGTGTACACGCGCACAAAAAGAAATCAGGCGCACCGGCACGCGCATATTACGCAAGCACCCACCTGCGCTTTCGACAAGATGTTGTGCCACGACAACCACCTGCGCAGAGAGAACACAGAGAGAGAGAGAGAGAGAGAACACACACACACAGAGAGAGAGAGAGAGAGAGAGAGAGAGAGAGAGAGAGAG